GAAATGTAGATCTAGACTGTTGTGACTGGGATTGGGATGGAAAAGTTCCCTTGTTCTAGTTACTGGGTCTAAAATCCCCCTGTGACTCTTGGCCTCTAGACTTTGAACCCCAAATTATTTCCTCCTCGGCTTGTATTGTAATCTCCACATGTGTTGCCGCCTCCACAAGACGGTCATAGTTCCAAATCATGTTTCCTACAACCTTGAATAGAATCTTGGTCCTTAACTTCTTCTCAAATTCAATGCAACGACACTCTTCCGTTGCCACCAACTCTGGTGCAAACCGAGACAAACTAGAGAAGGCTGCCTCAAACTCGGCCACGGACATATTGAGTTGCTTGAGGTCTTGAAATTCTTTCCTCAACCTCTCCCTAGCAATGGGAGGTAGATACTTGTCATGGAAAGCAACCACAAAGGCTTCCCACGTTGGCTCCACTCTACCCTTGGCGTACTTCCACCATTGGCTCACCCCTTGAGATAGTAACTCGCTAAAGTCACCCTTAACTCACTATCTTCAATGTGAAACATTTTGAATGTCTTCACCGTTTTCTCCAGCCACTCATCCACTTTCTTGGGCTTGGGGCCACCATGGAACTCATCCGGTTTGGCCAGCAAAAACTCCGTCGTGAGAAAACTCACCCTTATTTCTACGGCATTCTCTCGGGCTAGGTTCTCCGCCCTCAACATATTTATCGATTCCCTCAAAGCCCCCACCATTTCTTGGGCTAGGGCCCCCATTGCGGTTTGACCTACTTGCTCCGGAATTCCCGCTTGCCCCACTTGCTCGGCAACATTAGTTTGGCCCGCTTGTTCGGCCGCATTGGCTTGGCCGAACCCCTCCTCTTGCATCGAAACCTCATGGACCGGTACTTCATGCACACCCCGGCGAGGCCTACCACGCTTTTTGCCTCTACCACCACGGCCTTGACCTCTTCCTAACATCCTAATAAGGGACAAGAGAAATAATTTAGCACACGAACCCACATGTACTCGCAACTTGTCTCACACGTTTGACCACAACAATTCTATATAATTCTTTATCATACCAGCAATTCAATTTTACTCCACATAAGCACATACGGATTATTCTTTTATGATGAGATTTGCCCCACGAAAAGCCAATAATTTTAAGTAGAACGAGTATTGATCAAGTACCCTTCAAATAAGATCTCAAGGAATATAATAGGCGCAAACAACATCCCAAAAGTCCAATCCCATACCCATCTAGTCATATAAACATGTTACCACATAACTACAAAATACAAAACATCTCCTAGTCATGCGAAATGAACCCATAGTGGTAAAACACCCACTTCCCACGAGCCCCAAGTATTCAAACCCGGTAGCTCTGATACCAAGTTGTAATGCCCCAAAATTTATAACACCTATTAAGTACATCAACCAACGTTCATTATAAGAGAAGAAATAATTCTCCAACCTTTACATTTCTTGATCATGAGGTTTGTACAAAATAATTCTGCATGCGAATTATACATTCAATAATTTCTAATGCATGAATCTATAACATGTAGAATATCAAACCCAAAAGTAAATAAATGCCCTTAAGGGCTTACAAATTCCAAGGCTTAAGCCCAGTTATACAAAAATGGTTTCTCGAACCCATATAATTATAGCCCATGGCTAGCAAAATACCACAACAAAAAAATAAGAGTCTTGTGCTCTCACATATACATCCATGCCCTAACTCAACGGGATCACCACATCTTTTCTTACACCAAAATCCCATAGGGTGAGCATAAAGCCCAGTAGGAAATTCTTAACAAAGTATATACATTTTATACAAGCTTCACAAAATGAAATGCACATGCACATGCACATGCACATGCCATGCCAAGCTTTTTGTTTTTTGAAAGAAAATTACATTTTCATCCTTTGAAAAACCATTATGCTCAATGATAACTTCATATCTCAACAATTTAGAAATTTTCAATTTAGTTTAAGGGGCGGTAAATACGACTCAGGTAATTCTTAGGTTGGTGTCTGTAAGTAGGCATAACTAGCACTACTAAAACCCCATATTATCAGTAGCTAACCGGAAGGCACGTTGTACCTCCTCAGCGCGTGTTTTCGGCCTTTCACCCCAGACGCTCAGGCCAACTTAATCAAGTTCATCTACACCCCCTATTCGGACTTACCAACGTATTTACCCCAAAGCCATTCCATGAAAATTAATATATAAACTTTCTTTTCTAAAGGCAAAAGTCTCCAAACTCAATTCAAAATGTGTAATAACCAATTGAATGGATATGCGATGCAACAATTATCAATGTTACACAATATTCCTCCGCCTTCAAATATCTCAAACAATAATTTCATAACAATCAAATTTTTCATTTCTACTTTCAATGCTATTTCACAAAATAGCCACATATTCATTTAAATCTATCAATAAACAACAACATTTTCGTATTTCGTACATTTCTCAACAATTTAGTCATTTCATAGCCACATCACATTTTGAGCAACAACCACCCAAAATCAACAATTCTCATATTCAAGAAAATTTGCCATTTGCTAAGTAAAACAAGAGATTTTTCAATCATTTATTCATTTTAACATGGTAATAGATAAACATTCACAAATTCTCAACATCTCTCATAAAATCTCGAATTTCTAGGTTTCTTTTTTTTTTTTTTTTGTTGCCAAAACTAAACATTTCTCCATCTTTCAAAAGAAAATCACTTCCCTAAGCATCCTTTCCCATAATGTAGTCAAGCTCTCAAGTTTTGTAAGACAAACAAGGTGTAAACCCATTTTTGAAATCATCATTACCCATAAACCAAAATCAAAATTCCTACACTTTCCAAAAGAGTTCCAATATCAACATAAAGTTGCAAAAATATATATATAACTCTAAGAAAATCTCTACCTCAAGTTTTGAAGAAGAAGAGATGAGAAACTCCCAAATTTGACGATGTTGAAATCCAATCTCCACCGCACAAGATAAAGCCCTCGGTTAGCTCTCCAAATTTGATAAAGGATGTTTGGTCAAAGCTCCAATGGATCTAAAGAAATCAAGGTGTTGATCTTATTTGGTATAGGAAATGTAGAGAGAATGAGGAGAAAATGGGTTTTTAGAGAGAGAAAGCTATACAAAAAGTGATACACATACCGCCCAAGAAGAGAGAAAAGCATAATTTTCAGACTCAACGTCTCCCACACGTGCGACACTCATCCCCACACGTGCAGCGTCTCCTCTGCACCTCTTTCCGCACCTGCCTTTTATACAGTAGCCAACCCAGGTCCTCCCCTGTCTCCCGCACATGCGGCCCATTTCCCGTACGTGCAGCCCAAGGCCCAACACGTGCGACTCGCCCTTCAGCCAGGAAACTTTCCAGCTCAACATCGGACACTTCGGACCCAACCTCGCACCTTTCAAAACACGAGAAATTTGACACCAAAATAAATAAAAACAAGGACTTTGAAATAAGCTTCCAAACACAACAACCCACACCGTTAACAAAACTCTCGGTTAAACTCGACACTCCAACAAGGCAAACCCAAGGTTAAACAAGGTGGAACGAGACAAATAACGTACCCGATCATTACAAAATCTATCACCGCGCCATATTATATCGAAAGTGGGGCAAATCGAGAAGTGATGGAAGCAGGGTGGGTGTGGGGCAGGAGACGAGTTAATTTTATAAGTTGAAAAATAAAAATATTAATAAAATTTATAGATAATTTAGTATATTACGAATAATAATTTATATTAATGAGAATTGCATTATATAAGATAGAAAAATAAATAAATAAAAATTAATATTAAGTAGTATAATGTTTTCGTGTTTTAACTTTATTATAATAAAAAATAAATAAATTATATAATATATATATATATAATCATGGTGGGATTTGGGTGGAACAGGAAAAGCAAAACCCGTTCCGACCCCACTTCTTAATAGGGTGGAAAAAATCCATGCAAGACAGAATGGGAGATGCGGGTATAAAGTGGGATGGAGGAAAATTGCCATCCCTAGGCACAGTCAAGGGTGGGTTGTGGCCCCTGCAAGAATATTGGATGCTCCATGTTTATGTCAATACATGTTCGGCCCCTGCAAAATTTTTGAACTCAACCAAAACATAATCCATCTGATGTAAAATAGAACTGAGCCCAGTCCAAATATAAGAGAGGCCCAATATGAAATATTTGGTAGTAGTTTGAATGGATTTTATTAATGTGTGTTTTGGGGCTCATTATTGAAAAGATTGTATATTTTGAATAAAGTAGGTAGTAAATAAATACATAATTTATCCCATTTAATATATATTTTAAAGACACACTAACAATGTTTATTTTTATTAAACCAATAAAAAATTAACTCTAAATTTGAGTTTTGTAATTTTGTTTTTAAAATTTGTCTACTTGGAGAGTATAATAGAATAAACCTCACGCTTATTTATTTCGAGAAAAACATTTTTTCAGTTATTTTTTAGAGAAAAAGTATTTCTATATTTAGTTGCAAGTTTAAAATTAACATACTAATAGTTGTATTGGTGGTTGGTGGCGGCAGCGATGACTGCGATGGTGGCGACGATATTGTGAAGGCATTGATAAAACTTTAATTTTGAAAATATTTCTACTTTTTAAAAGTGAAAAATATTTTCCATTCAAAAAAGTTTGTTTTCCGTTGACTTTCATTTTTGTTGTATCAAATTCCAAAATAGTATTAGTGGTTGGTGGCGGCAATTGAGATGGTGGTGGTGATAATGTGGAGGCATTGATAAAACTTTAATTCGGAAAACATTTCTACCTTTTAAAAGTGAAAAATATTTTTCATTCAAAAAAGTTTATTTTCCGTTGACTTTTACTTTCTGTTGTACCAAATAGCAAAAAATTAAGATAATATTTTTTAAAAAATGTTTTCTGCCTAGAGGAACAGGGTATTAACATTTACTGCAGTGTTCTTTTTCCATTTCTTCTGTTTTTCTCTTCATAAATCCAAGATCCAAAGGCAATCTCAGTAGTCATACCATTGTAAGTTGAAACTCAATTTCCCTATTACTCCATGTTGTACAATTGAAAATGAAATGTACAACTTGAGCATTACATATTGGCTAAGAACTATTTGGTATTCACTATTTCATTCTCCTGGGCTTTGAATTGTAACAACATGATGGGGTGGTTCTTCTATACTCGAACACGGCCGCAACATTTCTTTGCTAGTCAATGGGGGTGGTTCCTTCGTTACTACATCGTCAACACTATTGAATTTCGCTAGAGAAGCGAGTTCATTAACAGATTCAGCAATTTTCTCAGTGCAAGTAGCAACATCAATGAGCAGCGAAGCTACAGTGGCAGCGGGGATGATATGTAGAAGGTCAGCGCCCCGCCATGAGCCTGTTTCGAGCAAGGATTTGAGGGTTTTTGCAATAATTTTTGAGTTTGCCATGTGGGAATTGGCAGTGGATGGCATGGTCATTGTTTTGACTGATAGGGCTAATTCCTTTAAAGCATAGCTACACTCTGTGCTCAACTTTGTGCTGGACTCTTCAATTTTTGCTTGCATCTCTGGACATGCCTAAAAGAGGATTGCAAAATTGTCAAAGTTAAGCAAAGTTCATAGTTATTTGTAGGAAGATAAGAAAACTCGTAGCCATGAGAATAGGATAAAACTAATCCTCCTCAAATTATGCGATTTGTCATACTTTAATCCCTAATTTTAAAATTTGTTCTTTTTGGTCCTAAAAACATACCATTTGTTACCCACAAATCTTCGATTTAAAAAAATTTCACCTTTGTTCTCAAAGTACGCAATCTGGTACACTTTAGTATTTATTTTTTTCCCCCCTTTGGTCCCCAAAGTATGCAATTTATTATGCTTTAGTAACTTGTGTTAACCCTATGCAAAATTAATAATAAGAGGAGGATATTTTCAAAATTTTATATCAAGTATAAACAAATGAAAAAGACCTAATGCATACATGGTCAAAAATATCATACCTTGGTTATTTATTTTGAATGGCACTTTAACAGATTGCATACATTAAATACCAAAGTGAAAAAAACTAAAAGATTTGAATGTTTTGGCAGAACAAATCATTTGTAAATGAAAACATAGTGCTCCGTTAGTTTAAAAAAACTACAAAATAAATAAAACAAAGAGAAAGATAACGATGCATGTGAGCATGAAGGGAGTTTGATTGGAGAGTGGGGAGGCTTCAACAACCGAGCTGTACTAAAGCAGCAAAACCACACGGGTATACACATGATCATCTCTTGTTTAATAATTTATTACTAATTAAGAGTACATGTAATGAGTAATTTCTCATGTGAGTGTGAGTGTGAGTGTATATGTATATGTCAGTACCTTGAGATCAGAATCAAGGTAGGTGTTGAGAGCATCAATACGGCAGGCACATTGCCTTGTCAAAGATCCTATTCTCAGGTATTTCTCCCATGGATGTCTGTACTTGAATTTGCCATGCCTCGGCTCCCATTTTGCAAAATTAGCCTACACAACGATAATAATAATAATATTATTAATAATAAATCATATTATTATTATTGACATTATTATTTAATCAAAGCGCCTCCAAAGGCAACCCAAGTCCGACTGGTGGAGGTTGTATGCTCGGGGATCTTAGAGCTAACATTGTATATGCTTTGTCGAACTTTTATGGCTAGTCCTCGACAAATTCTAAAGTGCAAGTTTACTACTTACCCAGGATTCTTCAGTGCTTTTTGAATTCAAAACACTTTTATATCCCTGCAGAAGTGCTTTGTCATCCTTGGATTCTCCATTGCTCTGCTTTTTGAAGTATTCACTTCCAAATCCTGTAAATTCATTTTGTCTTGCTCTTGTAAATGTTATAGTTCTTAATGAAAAATCAAGAAAGAAATAAAGTTCAAATCATAAGTATATTGGTGGCTTTTGAAATTACAAATGTGTATATATATATATATTCCTTCAATGAAGAATAAACAAATAATAAAACAAAAGACAAAAACAAACTCAACGAACTATCTGCATAGAAATGTATAAGGGTAGTCAACTAAGCAAATTCAATTAGTTGTTTCAATGTATGATTTGAGAGCCAGATTTAAAAAATGAATTTTAAATAACTTGGTAAACATGATTTTAACAAAATACCTCAATTAATAAACTAACACACTCACATTAAAAAATTAACGTGATTCGGTAATACTTATGTCCCACAAAGAATGAGAGAAATACATTTTAATAATTCATCACTGAGACCTTCAACCACTAATAAGTAAAGAATCCCAACTACAATCACCATAAAATAATCTCTCATAATTTTAGCAGAATCCATGATTACTAACATCTCATTCCTTCTCACCAACAATCCATGTCAATAATGAACTCTTCTACAATGTTATAAAGTTTAATCTCAAATTCTTTCATTTCAAATCTACCAATCCAAACATAACCTTATTTTATTGAAATTTTACACAAAATCTCCATCAGAATGACTTGACAATGATAGTTTTGTTCTGTAGATGAAAGTTATTTAGATAGCTTCTTGTTTATTCAAATTTTGCATAATTAATCTATTTTTATATCAATATTATTTCAAATTAGGCAAGTAATAAGGGGTATGGTGACAGATCATCTATAATAATAATGTACCTTCAAGGAAGGTCCCAAGCTTTTCCAAGTTAGAAGCAACCAAATTGTGAAGATCATCACCAGCCCACACTGGACAAATGCATACACATACAATCACAACGCTGGCACCACCGATGAGTATGGTGGATAGCCTCCTGTGGGCCATCTCTAACACCTCATCATCTCTATAACCAGATACTGATATTAAACAGAATGTTAATATAAATATCAGCAGCCCATAATCGTATCTTGCTTTCATTCTTGGAAAAAATCTTATGAATGTCACTACTGCAGCTGCATCAAACCAATATATAATTTTACAATAATGTTAGAATCATCATATTTTATTTGTTACTTTTAGTATCAATACCGTACTGATAAAATAAGTCTACTGCTCAAATTGGTTGGTAAGAAATGCGGTAATCATTACTATTAAATCGATCGGAAACCTGATCTATTTATCATATTTGTCAAGAAAAAATAAATGAATGGTCAATTTTTGAAATTATACTTGTGGTCTATTTTTTTATATACAAATATAATAAATTGAATACGCTATAATTATCGGATCAACCTAATTTTTTATGTGAATAATATACACAAATAACCTAACAAAGTTAACAATTTGAATTATTGAAATGATATACGTCATGGGCTGCACGAGTTTGGATAATAGTCTCCGATCCAAATCTTGGATGGGAGGGAAGCCCAACCCATTTTAAAAATGCCAACACATCATTCTAAATATATATATATATTTTTTTTTTTTGCACAAACTTAATTTGAAAGTTTATTTATTTATTTTAATTTGGCATGAAAAATTACCTAGTATGAAGACGAAAAGCCCAAGTAGTATGGGCTCACATATTTCTCCAGAAAAACTAGCAATTCGATGAGCTCCAACGCCAAGAGTACCAGCAAGCAGTGTTGCAAAACCCCTATTTACACCCCTTCCAAGTGTTGCACCTGAAACAAAATTTTTTAAATAATCAAAATCAGATGCTTTACATTATTATTAGTATAAAATCATACAATCACAATTATCAAATCGGTGGTGCTATATGTATTAATTAGTACACTAACTAATGTACCAATACTAGTTATGACATTATTATTGAATTCACAAATTATATAAATTATAAATACTAAAAATTTATGAAATTATGTCATATTATCAATTAATACATTACTTAATATATTAATTAATACATATAATATTATTCTTAGCAAATACATTTAACTCATAACTTGTTGGGTTTTGTCTTAAAATATAAAAAAGTTGCCTTGTATGCTTTGTCTTGTATTTACAGCAATTGCCAGTAAAGGCAATTATTAAAGTAAGAAAAAGGTTGGTGTGCCAAATGCACTTTTAGGTTGGCTAAGCATTTATGCTTACTAGGAATTGTGTGGGGATGTGTGAGAGAAAAGGTATCCAAACAGGTGTTACAAGGATAGCTTATGGTGCTGTAAAAGATGGTACTAGAAGTCAAGTGGTCAATTATTTTAAAGAAGTGTTTCAAATATTAATGTCGCGTTTTCGCGTTTTGTGTTTCAAATATTTGTCTTATCATTGTACTATTTATTATTCATATTGTAAATTTACGTCTCTTGCTAACCATTTTTGTTGATCCATGTATGCAAATTTATTTTGGGCATATATGAAAATATTTTCATCAACAAATGGTATATCAAACTTTTTAATAAATTTATTCTCAACAGATTGTAACAAAACTTCAGATGAATTTATAGTATGGATATCCGATGCAAGTAAATTTATCGTAACCTTGGCTATGCATAAATCGTTATAACATATAAGAGTTTTAGAGATTATATTTTTTGGTCTCTAAAAGTAAAAATTTTGTTGTAAAAAATATTTAAGGACCAATTTCTATCGTCGTGAGAATAGTCGCTAAAAGGTAGGCTTTTAGCAACAAAATTTTAAAAATGTCACTAATAAATACACTTTTAGGGACAAAATAATTTGGTCTCAAAATTATTTATTTTTTGAGACAAAAATTTGGGTCTCAAAAAGATAATAATGCATCACTAATGTCTTTTTTTCATTACTAAAAATACAATGACGACACTTTTCGTAACAAAAATATTTGATCCCTAAAAAGTATTTGTGCCTCTAAATTTTTGTCTCTAAAACTTTAATTTTTTTGTAGTGACTTGAGATTACAATCCAATCTATTTAGATCAAAATTTCAAGTACATTAAAATTTATGCACATTATATTGTAGCTGAAATGGTACAAGAACCTTTTAGAAATGAGAAAAATTACTAGTACAATCAAAATTGAATACTACTCTCCCACAAAAGTAAGACTCATCAAATGGGTGGATCTCAGATTATGCGAGAGAGTTCTGTCCATCGGATTTAGAATGACCAATAAGAAGAGTGACATGAGGCAACTTACCCACAGAGAAGTCAAAGACAACAACAACAGTAAGAACAGCCCACATTGCAGAGACACCAAAACCATCATAGAGAGGGTCACAGTAGTAGAACAAGGACACCAAAGTTATGGTAAGTCCTACTTTAAATGAATGAACTATTCTTCTGGGATCATCTTTCCCAAGTTTCTTTGCCTTGGTGGCCACGTCAACTACCTGAGTCCACAACATCTCAGGCAAGCCCTTGAACCATTGCCATGCACGAGCAAATGGTCCTAAATCATCAGCATTATTAATGGTTTCAGATTCGATTTCCATCGACAAAACTCAAAGAACAACAAGTTTGCGATGATAAATCAGATTGAAGAAAGGTTGTTCTTTGAGGGAAAGTGAAACCCAGAGATTTAGATCTTTGAAAAGATGCCCTGTGGAAGGTGACGACAGAGGTCTGTATTTATAAACGAAATGAGTTGGGTTGGGACTGTGAAAAATTAAATAACCCTCAAATAATGTGTGTTTGGGACTCTGAAAAAATTAAGAATAATCCTTGGGATCCCTTTTGGGGTCATCCCCTCACCCCCTTTGCCACGTGACGGGTGGTGATTAGAGGAGTAGGAAAAAAAAAGAAAATGAAAATGAAAATGAAAATATAACCAATGAGAGAGAGAGGGGGTCAAAGGGGGTGGGGGGAAAAGAGGGGATGAATCATTGTTGAAAAATTAATTAGTAAAATTTTTCTCATATGAAGAAACACGTTTTAGTATTTTCTAGGAAAGAGTAGACATGAATTAAGGAGATATTCCCATTCTGTTGGGGCTCCGCGTTCTATTACCGACGGTGGTATGAATTTTTAAGGGAAAGTAACAGATCAGCTTAAGTTTACATAAAAATAAAATAAAATAAAATAAAATAAAAAAACACATATCAATGATAAAATTTATAAATTTTAATAATTAAAATGTTAATCTTTTTCGTGATTCTTCATTTTTTTTTTTTTTTTTTTTTTTTTTTTTTTTTTTAAAGTTTCTAAAGTAAAATTCTGCCCAATTTTAACAGCTTCCCAAATCCATATTTGTGGACTGAATGGTTCAGTTGGGTCGAACCTAACTCAGGTAATTGCTTATTTTGTAAATAGGTCTTGCGAAAAACACAAAGCCTCCGTTTGGGAAGTGGGTTGGCTTTTTGGCTTTTTTGGCTATTTTAGCCTGGACTTAAAAGCTTGGTTTGGGAAGGGCTTTTTGGCTTTTTTGAGTTTTTTTGTGAGAGAAGAATGTAATGATTATGGGTTGGATGTGATGTTTTGTTTGTTATGACTAAAATAGCCTATTTTGTTTTTTGTAGCTAAAATAGCCAAAAAAGCCTGCAAACCCACTTGCCAAACACAGGAGTGTAGAATCCAATATATTTTCCATTAGGTTTGTAGTACTTTTCACTCAATTTAATACACAGTTTAACTTTTTTACTATTTTCAGTACACTTTTTACACTAATCCTAACATTAAGGCCAAGTTTAGCAACTCAAAAATAATCTATCTATTTATCTTTTTTTTGATCACATCACCTCTCTACTTTTTTGTACATCTTTTCGTAAAAAGACAAAAAATACACTTATTTAAGTCATTCCAAACAACCCTAAATAATGTATGGGGGTATTTGTTAGCATGTGCCTTTGTAAATTTATAAATTATTCACAAAAATAAAATTAAGTTGACATGAGAATTGAAGTCATATCTAAAATAATAAAAAAAAAAGAGGACAAATTATATCGGTAATTTTTATATTTTAATACTTGTGTCATTTTAGTTTCTACAATTTTAATTGGCTTAATTTTGACATTTAATTTTTGATTTTGTGCCAATTTAATTCAATTGATAAGAATGATTTTAAAAGTGAACATCCCCCCCCCCCTAAATTTCCCTATAAATCTTATATTAAGGAAAGGTAATCTATTTAGTCTTAAGGATTATCTTATAAATCAATTAGTCTCATTGATTTTAGAAAGATATATTTAATATATTATTTGAAAATTAAATTTACAGCTATACCCTTATTTCCATTATGTTTCTCTTTTTTTTTCTTTTTTTTTTCCTTTTGTGCTAGAAATGTAAAATACACAATATATAGGAATCAAATTTAGGATGAATTTTTATATGGGAATCTTTTTTATTTGAAAAAACATTTTAAAAAGAGTACAAAAAAGACTTAAAATGTTATATTCTTCAAACATTCTAAAAAAATATGAGATTATTCAAACATTTCAAAAGGAGTACGAAAACTCCTTAATAAGTTTTGGGCAAATGTATAATTTTAAACTGTAACAGTTCAATGTAACACTCAAATATAACGCTCTGAAAAAAAATTTATTAGTGTATTTTTCTCAAACGTAACACTTCAATATAATACTCCAAAAAAACTCCTTAGTGTACTTTTCTCAAACGTAACACTCCAAAAAAATTATGTGAGATTCTTAAAATCATTCCAAAAGAATGTGGGATTCTTCAAACCATTCCAAAATGAATACAAAAATTCCTTAGTAAGTTTTGGATAAATATATAATTTCAAACTGTGAGTGTTATGTTTGGAAAAAATACGCTAAGAAGTTTGCTAGTATTTTTTTGTGTGTTACATTGGAGTTTGTTATATTAAAGTGTTACGTTTAGGATTACATTTATTGCAGTGTTATGTTTGGAAAAAATATACTAAAAATTTTTATGTGTTATATTGAAGTGTTACGTTTAAAAAAAGTAAATTAATAATTTTTTTTTGAAGTGTTACATTGTTAAGTTTGGAAAAAAAAATATACTATGGAGTTTTTTAATATGTTACATTAGAGTGTTACGTTATTGGAGTATTATATTTTTTGTTTGTGTAAGATGAGCTAATTTGAGCCCATTAAATTAATTAGGCCCAATAGCCCAAGGTTAGTGGGCCTGAATTTAGCGCAAGTCCAAGGCCCGGATTAATTGCCATCAAACGGGCTGAATTGCTCCAAGCCTTGAAAGGGTTCAGATCCACGAACTTAGAAACTTACTGGGGCCCGGACTCGAAAGGGTATTGAGCAAGCCTAGAGATCCTAGGCACCTGGACTTCAAATAGATTCAAACGCAATCTAGAAGTCGCTCCGTTAATGAGTCCCAGAACATTTGTGGGCTCGGAGTTTCTGGGATCTACGCACTAAAACCATGGGCCTAATGGAGTTCGAACAAAGGACCCCATCCCGAGGACGATGAGTGGAGATAAATTCACTCTTCAATTAAACTAGCCTATACCCAGGTTAAGGTGGCACGACCCCGAGGAGTCCATGATACTCGGCAACATTTAGCAACGTGGGGTCCTCTAGGACAACCTCAGCCCTTTGGGATGATTGGGGATCATTGGTTAGATATGGCTAAGAAGAAGGGTTCACCGAGAGGTTAATCTTCTCTTCTGGGTTTTCCTCTTCCTCGGAGAAGTCACATCCTCGGACAAGGTGGTTAGAGAGAATATTTCCCATGTGCCTTGCACATGGGCTCCATCCTACATCATGAGGTGCCTATAAATAGCACCCACCCATAGCTTTACAAGGGATGGATTTTAGAGAGACAACTCTTGGGAAAGAATTAATTTCTCTTCTCCATTATCTACCTTGAGAGTAAAAGTGGGAGATCCATGAGAGAGCCTTGCCATTATTCTCTCTCTAGCCACTTTGCCTTCTTCTTCACCCAATCTCTTATCTCCATCATCTCTTTACTTTTGTGTTCTTAGTTGAGACTATTGAAGAATCTAAACCTCTTATCATCTTCTAGAGAATTCGAATTTTTCTTCAAGGATCTTCGAAGATCTTCGAATTTTCCAATGGTGTTCTTGAACCCTCTCATACATTTGGCGACTCTACTGGGGAGGCGGATTGGTTAATGGTGTCAACGAGATTTGGAACCCACACAACTCCAACAATGATGGCGGGAGAAGATGAAGTTCACTAACAAAAATCCTCTAATGGTGGTGATGACAGGACCATGGCTCTAGATCAACCACTTTTGCTCGAAGCCATTCAAGGACTTCAAAATACTCAGTAGGAGATTCTTACCACTCTTTAGAATCTCACTCACACCATGTTGGTGATGAGTTCTAATTTTGCACCAGCGCCAAACAGAAATCAAACTAGCGGTGAAGTTATCCTCACCGAAGTGCAAAATCAAATCCAAGGAGAAATAAGCCCCAGTCAGCTCATGGCTCATGGGAACACAGCCACAGTAACACATGCTCAAACCACAGTAGACGGCAGCAGTTTACCCATGCCTGGGCTCCATGGCGTGCCAAGCCAAGATCCAATGGTGACTAGGGGAGGTTCTGGTGTAATGAATGGCGCTCCAGCAACTATTAGTGTCCAAGAAAATATAAGGGGCATAATGGCGCAAAAAGGAGCTTTGCCCATACCTAATCTTGTTACACCACCAGTAAATGTTACTCAAGTACCAAACAGGCCTCCTTTGGTGCCGACAACAATTTTGCAAGCCCAACCCGGTATAGCTGCGTCATACGGTGGACTTTACAGGCCTCAATTCAATGTCCCATCACCAACTAGCTTGTCCATAGGCGCTGATGGCCAGTATCGTCAAATGTCCTCACCAATGATGAATTCACAAAACCAGAACGGCCAAGTCGCCCCTAGCTCAGTCTTTGGGTCCATAAGCCAAGTTCCGGGAATACCACCATCAAACTCTCTCCCTGAACAGTTTCTCACTCTCGCCGATGTGCAAGCCATGTTCGATCTCGAACGGGGCAAGAGGACTTTACCCTCTTTACCTGATTCGGATGTCAAGCCGCCTTACCCTATCGAGATGTTGAGTTATCCATACCCGAAGGGGTACACGGTGCCGAAGTTCATCAAATTCGATGGAAAACAAGGAAATGCTCGAGAACATGTTGTGCGGTTCATTGAGACTCTGGGTATTCATGGTTCAAACCACGTCCTCCGGCTGAGAGAATTCTCTAAGCCCCTCACTGACCGAGCATATAGTTGGTATGTTAATTTAGCCCCAAACTCTGTCCGAAGTTGGGAGGAAATGGTTAACAAATTCCACTCCAAGTTCTTTCAAGTGGCGGAGAAGGTGATCACACTTACATTGCATAAAGAAAAGCAACGGGAAAGTGAAGACATCCTTGACTACGTCGAAAGGTTTCATGACAAGGCTATGGATTGCCATGAAGCAGTGAAGGAAAGTTATCTGGTTCAAATCTGTCTAGAAGGGGCATTGAGCAGGTACAAAATGTTTCTAGTTAATCACAAGCTATCCACCTTCTCGGCAATACTAGAAGCAGCTCGGAACATTAGCACTCCTCAGGCTCAGGAGTCCAGATTTAAGGCCAGTTACAAGACTAGCTTCAAATCGTCTCGTGGACCTATTGTTGCTGCTGTCTCTGCCCCAGATACCCAAAAGTCACAAGGAGGGGGTCATAGAGGCCA